TACGAGTACTGTCGTTTTCCCCTTGGGCTACGCACTCGCGCCGTGGAGCAGGGGTAAGAATTTAATCTACATAGACGTCGGGTTAATTCTGGCCTCATCCAGAGAAGTGGCCGTGAGCCACACGCACTGGGTCCTGTCCCACATACAGCGCCTGGGCTTTGTGGTTAACAGGGAGAAAATTAACAGTTACCTTTGTAACTTAAGTTCTACGAATAGGTGCACGTGATATCCCACTAGCGAAGTCCGCTAAGGGACGTAGCACCATGACGTAGAAGCAGGCTGCAACCGGCTCAGCGCAGGATCTATCTCGGTCTGCAGCTAGACTCTGTGACATTCCGTGCTGCATGGTCCGTGGACAGACGGATGAACACTACCCGTCTGCCCGGGGAGGTTCTGGCGGGCCCCAGAGTCCCCGCTCGGCGCCTCAGGTCCCTGCTGGGAATGATGGCGGCGGCTCATGCTGTGGTGCGGCTAGGCCTTCTCCACATGAGGAATTTTCAGAGGTGGTTCTCACGCCTCAGGCTTCACCCCTCCCGGGACGGGGGGAGGCTGATCTGGGTTCCCCAAGTGGCAGCATCGAACATCAGGTTCTGGCTCACTCCGGGTCTTCTACGGGACGGAGTGACTCTGGCCGGCGCCGTGTCTCACGTGGAGATGTTCACGGACGCGTCGCTCGAAGGATGGGGCGGGGTCCTCGGCCAGAGTTCTGTAGGAGGCTGCTGGTCGGACTCAGCCTGTCACATCAACCTGCTGGAGATGGAGGCAGTGCACAGGGTACTGCTGCACTTTGCTCCTCAGCTGCAGGGGAGACACGTGATGGTTCGCTCAGACAACACCACAGTGGTCTCCTATCTGAACAGGCAGGGGGGGCACCAGGTCCCCCGCTCTCCATTGCATGGCGAAGGTGACGCTGCTGTGGGCGGCGCTTCACCTCCTGTCTCTCAGGGCGCGCCACGTCCCGGGGGTCCGGAACGTGGGGGCCGACAGGATGTCCAGGGGGGGGGCCCACTCCAGGACGAGTGGGGCCTGGCCCCAGGGGTGGCTGCGGAGATCTGGCAGAGGTTCGGCCGTCCAGTGGTCGACCTTTTTTCGCCAGTGCAGGAAACGCACAGTGCCCGTCCTGGTTCGCCTCAAGGGCCGCGGACCAGCCGCCTTTAGACGTGGACGCTCTGGCTCATTACCCCTGGCCAGGGGGCCTGCTGTACGCGTTCCCCACCAGTGCGTCTCCTGCCGGTCCTGCTGCGGAGGATCGAACAGGAGAGGAGGTCGGTGATCCTGGTGGCGCCGGACAGTCCGCATGCCCGGTGGTTCCCCTTCCTGAGGGGCATGGCGGTGATGGAGCCCTGGGCCCTCCCGGACGAGCCGGGGGCTCTAGTCCAGGGGGGGAGGAGCCCTGTTTTCACGCCCGATAATTGGCCGCAAGCTCTGGGTTGGAGGCTGAGAGGCGGAACCTCGTAGACCTGGGTCTTCCCCCTGCGGTGGTGGAGACCACTCAGGGGGCGAGGGCGCCGTCCACTGTGAGGGCCTACGCCACGAGGTGGAGGCTCTTTAGCGACTGGTGCGGTTTTCGTTCCTGGGATCCCAGGCGTTGCCCGCTGGAGGGGGTCCTGGGATTCCTACAGGAGCTCTTTGACAAGGGGAGGGCTGTCGCCACCTTGGCGGTGTTCGCGGCAGCCATTACTTCGGGTCAAGACGGATTCGGGGGGTTCACAGCCCGCTCTCATCCGTTGGTTAAACGTTTTCCGCGGGGGGCACGCAGGAGGAGGCCCCCCGCTCCAGAGAACGCCCCGGTTTGGGACCTCAGGGTGGTCCTTAGGGGGCTGTCGGGTCCGCCTTTTGAACCGGCGGCGGAGGCGAGTCCCGAGTGTGTCGCTTTAAGACGGCCCTCTTGTTGGCGTTGGCGTTGGCGTCTGCTAAGAGGGCGGGCGACTTGTGTGCGCTCTCTGTCCATGCGTCTTGCCTGTCCTTGGAGAGGGCGACGGCATGGTGGTATTGTGGCCCAATCCGGCTTTTCTCCCCAAGGTCATCACGTCGGCCTTTAGGTCGAGAGTCATCAGGATTAGGGCTTTCTATCCGCCACCGCATGCCTCCCCCGAGGAGGAGCGCCGACACCTTCTGTGTCCTGTCAGAATGCTGAGGCATTACCTGGCCATGACGTCGTCATTCAGGTTGGATGGCCAGCTGTTTTGTGTGTCTGGGCCCCAAGAACAGGGGCGCCCCGCTGTCGGCTCAGCGGCTGGCGCACTGGGTTGCCACGGCTGTGCGGCGGGCGTATCAGACGCAGGGTCTGGCCCTCCCGGTGGGCTTCAGGTCGCATTCCACGCGTGGGATGGCGGCCTCTACGGCCCTTCTCAGGGGGGTGTCGGCCGAGGACGTATGCCGTGCGGCTTCTTGGGCTTCGTCCTCCTCTTTCGTCCGGTCTTATCTTTTGGATGTGTCGGACCGGTCGGTGGCCCATTCCGTGCTGAGTGCAGCGGACTGAGTTAGACCGTTAGGTCCCTCCTCTGAGGGGGCCTTCGGTTTACTTTCCGCCCTGGTTCAGGAGCTCTTGGGAGAGGCATCCTACAGGTGCGGTACATATATGTGTGTTTTGGTCGGTCTGGTAGTCCACGTCAGGAGCCCTTGGGAGAGGCGTCCTGTGACTACGGATGACCTATATCTGTGTTACGTGGGGGTATCCTTGGTAGGAGTGGCCCTGTAACACGCATTGTTTCTTCTGCCCTGAGTCCTCTCACTTTGTGAGGGTCTTGCTCGGGCGGAGCTCCAATCACCCTTCGCTGGCCTGCTGGGAGTACATTTTCCTACGGCCTCCGCGTTGTGTCCCACTAGCGAAGTCCTAAGGGACGTAGACCATGACGTAGAATTAATAGTTACTTAATGTAACTTAAGTTCTACGAATAGGTGCGTAGTCCCTTAGCTACGAGCCCATCAGGCCAGCCCGGCTTGGCAGAGTTCAAGAGGGGGTGCGGCCTTGTGCAGGGGCATTTATAGAGGAAGGTGGCTGGTGATTGGAGCAAATTATTTTGATCTCTCTGGCGTGTGACCTGGGGGTCACGAGTGATATCCCACTAGCGAAGTCCTAAGGGACTACGCACCTATTCGTAGAACTTAAGTTATATTAAGTAACTATTAATTCATGCAGATCTGTGTAGCAGTGGTTCCAACAACAAATTTCCTTTGGGACAATGACATTTAACTTATCTTATGTTTCATCACCCTTTAGCTTGGGTGACACTGACACACACTGACAGATAGGGGTGTGACGATATATTGATTTTTTGATATATCACGATACTTTCTCCCGCGATTCGATTATCGATATGCATTTGCCAAGTATCAATATCAATTTTGAAAAAAAAAAAAATAATGTTTATTTTATTTTTTATTTTTTTGAATTGGTATCAATACTTAATATAATACGCATCTCCATTCTATTAAAGTGGTTCTCACCCCCGCTCCTCGGAGCTTACGTTACTCACATTTCCTGTTCAAATCTTCCTCTAAATGGGTGTAGCCTGGAGGACTAAAGGGGGCGTGAACGAGACTGGGCCGTTTACATTGCTCTGGGCGGGGGGCTGCTGACGTCAGGTCCAACTTGCAGACGTCAGGTCCAACTTCTGTGCCAGTGTTGGCGCCAGATTCAAAATTCAAATGTAGTAATACAGGTCGCCAGCAGATGGCGCCTCACAGACGGTTTTAGGCAGAAAGTCTAACTTTCAACTAATTTGCACCAAAGTGACAAGATTATGACCAGGATATGTAGACAACACTATTGGACACTCATTTATACCGTTTATCAGCAAAAAAAAGTGGATTTGAGGGTGAGTTGTCCTTTAACCATGAAATCAAGATTTCAATCAAGATTTCTTTTATTTATGCCATAAATTGGCATATTGTATATTTCTGACCAATATATCAATAATCGTCATATCGTGATAAAATCGTTATCGTAATATCGTTATCGTGATATTATCGTTATCGTGAGCTTTGTATCGTATCGTATCGTGAGGTACCCTTAGGTTCCCACCCCTACTGACAGACATTACTTGCTTTAATAGATAGATACCTCAAAACTAGTACCAGTTATTCCTACCAGTAACCTAAAATATTCTAGTCATGGATTCAGTCTAGAGGCTAAACAGCTTTAACATTTAATGGATGACTTGATTATCCACTATTTGTACCATGATGTTTTCACAGGTTTCTCGCCCGCACAGTTGAGCGTAGGGGGCCCTAGGCTGTGATTGTCTTCCCCCTTGCTGCGATTTTGTCCTCTAGGCTCTGTTTCAACCACAGTACACTGACAGAAGGGATTTTCTGTTGTTTTTTTCCCTCCATTTAGAATCAGTATTGTTGCAATAAAGCTGAGGCAAGAGCGAGTTTGTAAAATAGAAGTCCTCATTTAAGACCACACTTAGTGATTGCCCAGACAGCCCCCTCACATCAGTTTGCAGACATGTGTCTATTCACTTCAAACATGTCGATTACAAGTGTCCTGCATTTCAGTAATATAGAGGCCAAGTTCACAGTGTAATTAACTAAATTCGATTTATTGCCCAGCCCTACATTCTGTTTCTATTATATTTACATCTCTCTCTGAGTCATAAAACTACTTCCATGTTTTATTCCAAATATAATTTAAAAAAACCTATTAACCAATCTATTTCAATAATTGTTAGTTGTGATTAATCAGTTGGCTTGTTGTAGCCCCTAAAATCACCTTCCAAATGTAATCAGCGATAATTTAGTTTAGTTTTGTGATCAGCAATAATATTTTTTGTTTTTTGTTTTTTGCACACTGTCCTTGGCTGCTTTGAAAGGTGCTGCTTTTAAATAAAATGTACTATTATTACTATTATTATTATTATCAATTTAAAAGCACGCTGCATTTACTAATGCATTTAGTTAGATATGTATCATTGTGATTTAAATGGCTATTTTGATTTGATATACTGAATCTTGCAGTCGTACTGGCAACACCTGAGACGCCAGGTTGAAAATCAAAGCACTGGGTCGTCCTCTGCTGGTATGTTTACACAGGCTCCACATGTCCAGAACCAGTCTGCACTCATTGGTGATATCCCCACAGGGTCAAACATCCTTGCGGCTGAAGACTGCCGGCCTGTTTGATGTCTGAAGGCAAGAGCAAAGTAACAGTCAGGGTTTTAACGCATGTCTTTGATCCCAGACTCGAGGTCCAGGCACCAGCATCCTCAGAACACATTGCTCTGTTTGGAGGAGAGATAGAGCAAAGGAAAGCCATGAGCCAAAACAGGCTGAGGAGTGGAGGAAGTGGGATGGAAATATGCAGTCTCAGCTCGTTTAAATGATTGATTTATCTAATGTAGGCTAATTCATTTGTAGAAAATAATTTGTCCCTTTTGCTCCATGTGCTGCTCTTACGTGTTGTCAACCTCATTTAAAAGAAGTGACCGCTCAGTCACACAATATCTGGTCTTGGTCAGTATACTTCAGAATCAGAATCAGAATCAGAATCATTTTTATTGCCAACGTAAGTAACGGGAGGTCACAGACTTGGAAATTGCTTTGGCTCAGTGCAACAGTCAAAAAGAGATAATAAAAATAAGAATAAAAAACACTTCTAAAGAATAAATTTAAATTTAAAATAGAGTTACAGTTACTATTTACAATATACAAGTGCACATGGTGCACACAATGTAAGGTGACAGCAGTACAGTGAAGTAAAGTGACGTATGATGGGCAGTAAAGTGACTTTATAAAGGGCGGGGGGACAGGTTAAGAAGTGTTCAAGAGTCCAACAGCAGAGGGGAAGAAACTGTTCTTGTGGCGGGAGGTTCTAGTCCTGATGGACCGCAGCCTCCTGCCTGAGGGGAGTGGTTGGAATAGTCCATGTGCAGGGTGAGAGGGGTCGGCTGTGATACGACCAGCCCGGCCTCGAGCTCGGGCGACGTACAGGTCCTGCAGCGATGGAAGGCTGCGGCCGATCACTTCCTCTGCAGAGCGCACAATGCGCTGTAGTCTCTGTTTGTCCCTGACTGTGGCTCCAGCGAACCACACGGTGATGGAGGAGGTGAGGATGGACTCGATGATGGCCGTGTAGAACTGCACCAACATCTGTGCAGGCAGCTTGGCTTTCCTGAGCTGCCGCAGGAAGTACATCCTCTGCTGGGCCTTCTTGATGAGGGAGCTGATGGTCGGCTCCCACTTGAGGTCCTGGGTGATGGTGGTGCCCAGGAAACGGAAGGACTCCACAGAGGTGATGGGGGAGTCCATCACGGAGGGTGGGGGCGGGGGGACAGTGCTCTTCCTGAAGTCCACAATCATCTCCACTGTCTTCTGGGCGTTCAGCTCCAGGTTGTTACCACTGCACCAGGACACCAGCCGGTCCACCTCCCTCCTGTAGGCGGACTCATCGTTGTTGGAGATGAGTCCAATGAGGGTGGTGTCGTCCGCGAACTTGATCAGCTTCACGGAGTCGTGGCTGGAGGTGCAGTGGTTGGTGTACAGGGAGAAGAGCAGGGGAGAAAGAACACAGCCCTGTGGGGCTCCTGTATTTATAATCCGAGAGTCCGAGACATTCTTCCCCAGACGCACTCGCTGCTTCCTGTCCGTCAGGAAGTCAGTGATCCACCTGCAGGTGGAATCGGGCACGTTGAGCTGGGAGAGCTTGTCCTGGAGCAGGGATGGCAGGATTGTGTTGAAGGCAGAGCTGAAGTCCACGAACAGGACCCTGGCGTAGGTCCCCGGGGAGTCCAGGTGCTGTAGGATGTGGTGGAGGGCCAGGTTAATGGCGTCGTCTACAGATCTGTTGGCTCTGTAGGCGAACTGCAGGGGGTCCAGGAGGGGGGAGGTGAGGGACTTGAGATGGGAGAGAACCAGGCGTTCAAATGACTTCATGACGACAGACGTAAGTGCTACAGGTCTGTAGTCATTGAGTCCTGTGATCCTGGGCTTCTTCGGGACGGGGACAATGATGGAGGATTTGAAGCAGGCCGGGACATGGCAGGACTGCAGAGAGGAGTTGAAAATGTCCGTGAACACAGGAGTAAGCTCACTGGCGCAGTGTCTCAGAGTGGCCGGAGACACGTGGTCCGGGCCAGGAGCTTTGCGGGGGTGCAGCCTCAGGAAGAGTTGTTTAATCTCTTTAGCGGCTATTGTTAGGCTGGGGGCAGGGCTGATGGGTGGGTCGTTAGAGTAGTGGGGGGTGGGGGAGGGAGAGGTGTCAGGGGCAGCATCAAAGCGACTGAAAAATAAGTTCAGATCGTCAGCTAGCTTGTGGTCATCAGCACAGGGGGGGGCTTTGGGTTTGTAGTTGGTGATCTCCCGTAGGCCCCTCCAGACAGAAGCAGTATCGTTGTTACCAAACTGCTCCTGTAGTCGTTCTCTGTGCCGGGACTTGGCTGCTTTCAGTTCTTTCCTGAACTGATATTTAGCTGCTTTGTAGCCGCTGCGGTCCCCCTCCCTGAAAGCAGACTCCTTTGCTTTCCTGAGCTGCCGGAGTTTAGCAGTGAACCAGGGTTTGTCGTTGTTATAGATGACCCTGGTCCTTGTTGGAATGATGCTATCCTCACAGAAGTGAATGTATGACGTCACAGTGTCCGTATATTCATCCAAACTATCTGTGGCAGCTCTGAAAAGGTCCCAGTCTGTAGATTCCATGCATGCGCGCAGCTCTTCCACAGCTTCATCAGACCACACTTTGGAGCTCCTCACTGCAGGTTTCGAGAGCTTTAGTCTCTGTCTGTAAGCAGGAACCAGATGTATCATGGAGTGATCTGAGAAGCCGAGGGCTGGCTTGGGAACAGCGCGAAAAGCTCCGCGCACGGTGGTGTAACAGTGATCCAGAGTGTTCTCCTCTCTGGTCGGGCATTTGATAAACTGTCTGTATTTGGGTAATTCCTGGCTCAAGTTTCCCTTATTAAAATCCCCCAGGATAATAATCAGAGAGTCCGGGTATAAGCGTTCCATACACAGTACTTGCTCTGCGAGTGCGCGCTGAGCCTCGCGCGCGTCCGCGCATGGCGGTATGTAAACAGAGGCAAGAATGAAGAATGAAGTCTAAAGCTGCAACATTTAATTGTTTACATCATTTGTTTTAGAATAAAAACAATGATAAATGCAGTGTTTGGCATGTTTCTTTGAAAAAGTTATTAGTTATAGTTACTTCTCCCAAAAAGTAACTGAGTTACTAACTGAGTTACTCCACTATAAAAGTAACGAGTTTCCAGTAAAAGTAAGTATTGCGTTACTTTTTTGTTTCTGTGATAAACTACTACTGTAGCCACAGCTGCCCTGGGACACACTGACAGAAGCAAGGCAACCAGTATGTGCCATCGGCCCCTCCGACAACCACCAACCATTCACACACACACCAGACTCATTCTAGACAATGTGGGTGAAGTGTCTTGCCTAAGGATACAACGGCAGTTTGGCATTTTACAGCCAAATAGTTGTACTCCTTTGTGAAAGTCCATCCATCCATCCATTTTCTACCCTTTAATCCATTTCTGGGTCAGGGGGGTGGCAATCAGAGATGCCACCCAAGTCTCATAGCACCAGCCCCTCACTGACCCTCTGCAGGTGGTGAGTCCACAGGAGGACGGCTGCTCTCTGAGTGTGAGCATAGCCTTGATCTTTCCTTTGTGAAAGTATGGTCTCATAATAATATCACATGTAGCATTGTTTTTACATTGATAAACTACTAGCATAGCCATAGCTGCCCAGGCTTCTGCCACTGTCAGAAGCGAGGCGACCTGTGTGTGCCATCACCAACTCTTCACGCCTTTATTACCTATGGTCACAACGACTGTTTGGCACTTGGCAGACAGTGGGAGTCGATTGTGAAAGTCTTGAGGTGGACTCGACCCCACGAGCATTGGCCTCAAAGGCCAATGCTCTACCAACTGAGCTGAGTAACGTGCAGTAACGGGGTGTCGGCAATGATAACGGCGTTGTAGTTACAGTCAGACTAATTAGTTAGACTGCGTTTATTTCAATGCCGTTATTCCCATCACTGGTGAAATGTGAGGACACTTAAAGCTAGAGTACCTAACTTTGATACCACACAAATTGTATTAAAATCCATGTGACTCGCTCCCTGCTCTGACATCTGTTGGGGGCTATCACTGGTTTCATGTATTTCAAAATGTTTGGGTGAAAAAGAGAGGACCAGCCCTTTGTAAAAGATGAAATGTTTTCTAACAAGATAAAACCAGCATGTTTTGGTCTGAATTGTTCTCAAAATGTTACTTAAGACTCTTTCTAATGGGACAAAATAAATGACTCTATGAAAAAAGTTTGATACTCCAGCTTTAAGTGAGAAAGTTTTTGCAAAGCTCAGCACAATACAGTTTGTGTGCCCGCTGTCCTGGTCTCAGTATCTGGTAAAAGATCAAATAAAACATTATCTGTGTTCTCTCTGATCTTGACAATACGGACATGGTCATTTAATCATTCAGATTGTGATCATAATCCTCCCTACTTTTTGTGCTCTTTCTTGACATCTCCATTTGAAAGCCTGATGCTTCTGAAGCTAAGTAGGGCAGGGTCTGGTTAGTACTGTGATGGGAGACCTCTGGGAACACCATGTGCCACAGTGAGGCAGCTGTGGCTGTAAAGTGCCAAACAGTCGTTGTGACCATAGGTATTAAAGGCGTGAAGAGTTGGTGATGGCACACACAGGTTGCCTCGCTTCTGACAGTGGCAGAAGCCAGGGCAGCTATGGCTATGCTAGTAGTTTATCAATGTAAAAACAATGATACATGTGATATTATTATGAGACCATGCCTATACTTTCACAAAGGAGTACAACTATTTGACTATTTTGGTGAGCATACCATTACAAACTAGATTAATTGTAATGTAGTCTTAATTACTGCAATCTAATATTTGCATAAAATGTCACAAAAGGATATTTTTCCCAAAAGTATAGGACATTTGATGTTTTACACTCAATACACAACAATCCACAGCAAATTGATTTTATTCAATTTTGTACTTCAATTTTTTCAGTGAAGCACATTTTTGTTGGATTGACATAACCGTATTATAGACAAACTTCCAACAAGAAAATATCTAACATCCCCGCAATGCATAAGAAGTCACTTTTGGAATCCTGGCTGTCCAGGCTACCTCTGCTGTTGTTGCTTTCCTATGACAGACACATAAGGCCTATTTATTGTGTTAAAGCCATTTCTTGTTGAATTGGCATGAAAAGGAACCCAGCGTGCATTTATATACGCTCTGGAGAAAACCTGGAGAGCCCAAGTAAACCATTTGTTAGGGGGAAAAAAAATCAGTTAATGTTTCGAATGGTACTGCTCCGTGGGAGTTGAGATTTTGTAGTAAATTGGCTGCTTTTCAGAACGTGGCAGAAGGCAGGAGTTGCAAGTTTCTGCCTACTATTTTTTCAGTTTTGAACTTACAAGCGCAATGACTATTTTTGTCCAGTTTGTGTGTTTTTGTTGGTTTGTTTGTATTGATCAGTTTACTGTTGACGTGGGTATGTTTCCAGGAAAGGCGTTGTGGATAGAAAGTTTGTTTCTTGAGTTTGGAAATAGAAATACATGACTAATCCCAAGAAAGAGTTTTCAAGGACGGAACAAAAATAAAAATGCTGACTGTTTTCTTATACTGTACAGTCATTGAATTTTTTTTAATGTAACTTCCACAATATACAGAGGTGTATTATTTCTCATGTGTTCACTATAAGCCACTAAAATGTCCTAATACAGCTTGACAGTAAAAGATTAATTTATCCAATACTGCAAAAAAACTCCACTCTCTAATTTGCGCACACAGCCAAAAATTGTGCAAGGCGATACAAGAGAGGTAGACACACATGCTTAAATTAATCTTGAATACCTCACTAGACATGCTTATTAACCCACATTCACCTTGTTTAAAACATTAAGAGAAGATTGCGTTCTGCCGCCCTTGCCGAAGTTTCACAGGTACAGCATCAGTCGCTAATAAATGTGTCATTCTACATGCAAAATCTGATGCACTGCACGTACGGTTTGTGAATATGAGATGTGAATATATTTTCTTTGTTTTACTGCGGTGAAAACCTGTCTTACTGCAGTGATGACCTGCCTTACTGGGCAAGAGGAGTTTCAAGGCATGATGATTTAACCTCAGTTATTTTGACAAAAATGACCACGGTTGTTGATATTATTGCAGTATTTTTCTTAAACTTCAGCAAATATGTTCAGAAAGCAGAGATGGTATTGTTGTACCTTCAGTGCCCGATCATTTCACTGTTTCATCGATTACTGTTTACCTGTTTAGCTTAGCGTATTTTACATTTTCTGGCTCTGCAGCTGTACTTTTACCGTAACATTATTGATAGACAAATAATCAGACAATTCTCCCACCACCCAAAGTCCACCCGCATCTTCTATTTCAGCTGAAACGTCAACATTATCTTACCTTGCATTGCAGTAGAGGGTGATGATCACGCAGAAGAGCCATCACGGAAACCTTTTTTCATTTTTTCATGTCCATTCTGTAGACAGAAGCTCTCTTCCATCAGCTGTCCCTCTGCATTCTTTAAAAATAAAATTATAGTCGAGTTTGTAACTTAAACATAATTTTACAACTTGGAATAATGTGCATGTGTAGGAAAGACATGTTACAAAAAAGCGGAAGCAATTATAGAGGCACAGAAATATCTACCGCCATCGATCGGGGTTGGTAGAAATAACAACCAAATTTGGAGAAGGAAAAACCAAGAAAATAACTCTATGAAATATATGATAGTGGGGGGAGAAGTCATAGCTAATACATAAACAATAGACAGGGTTAAATAAAACCTTTTGGGCTGGGCGATATGACAAAAAAACCCAAAAAATTCAATATCCATCCATCCATCCATTTTCTTTCCCTTAATCCATTCCCGGGTCGGGGGGGTGGAAGTCAGAGCTGCACCCGGTACACAGAGCACCAGCCCCTCACTGATCCTCCTGCAGGTGGTGAGTCCACTGGAGCTGAGATCTTTCAGCGAGGGCTTCAGGCAAAGTGGGGTTAAGTGTCTTGCCCAAGGACACAACGACAGCAGACATCAGTGGGAGTCGTGAAGTAGGTCTTACGGTGGGCTCGAACCCAGTATTTGAAATCAGACGATATAAATACAATATAATATTTATGGTACCTGCTTTTCATCTGAGATTGAGTTCTACAACATGAAGGTTGTGAGTTTGATCCCATGCTGACCCAGGTCTTTCTGTGTGGGGTTTGCATGTTCTCCTTGTGCCCTGATGGGTTTCCTCTGAATGGCTGATGGCACTGACTGGCTTGCTTCCATGGAGGATATTGTCAGTGTGTCGCTTCAAGAGGCTTCAACAAGCCTGCAAAGTGTGTATAAGTGCAAGTGGATCATCATAAGTGAAGCAAATGAACTGTGTTTCAATGAAATAACTAGTGCAGATTTTTAAGTCTTTCAAGATATCAGTAATGGGTCGAGATCTTTTTAAATCATTGATGTGATATCTCCTACAACCACAACTAATTTAGTCAAACTTTACTCAATATAGACGTCTTGAGAGATTGTTACCCATTCTATACTTACATATACTTCATGGAAAATGATCCCATATGAATAACCCATAATTTTAAAGATAATATGCTTCTTCTTACATTATGTTGTTTTTGATGCTGGTCTAACATCAAAGAATAGTCATATGGCCTTCAACACAACTCCAGCTATGACAGGAAATAATAATGCATACTACTTGTATAGAACTTCTCCTGACCCACAACATTCCTTCATTCACACAGCAGACATACAAGATAATGCAGGTGAAGTGTCTCGACACAAAACAAAGTTGTGTTCTGGAACCCCTAAAGCTGTGAATTTGACGGCTTTTAGTTTTGTTCGTGTACTCATGAACTCATGTACGTTTTTGATCTTCATAACTTTGTGATTTTTTCTGTTTTTATATGTCGTTTTTTTCTACGTTATTATTTTAATGAATTTATATTTATTTTTTGAAATGGAGTAGTGAAGCAGGGAAGACCAAGCGCTAGTAATCATAAACTGTAAGCATATACGGACGTAGCAACGCCTATTTCCTCCGTAAAAATGTGTGTGCCACAGACATGGGCAGATTCTATATGGCTGCGGGCCGCCCCTCCTGCAGGAAAAAGGGAAAAAAAGCATTTGCTCATGCCTTTCTGCATGAGCCCCTTTCATTTGAAGAGTCCATGCAAAAGTCCACTTCTGGGATTCCTTGTGTTAACCAACATGTGATCAATGGTGCCTTGCTGCTGGACTGGTACGCAACGCTGGCGTCTTGTATCAGCAGCAGCAGCAGGAGGATGACAACAGGTGCTGGGACCTCATTGCACATTCACTGAAGTCGCTGAAGATCGTTAGCAGAATAAATGTGGACCCTGCGCATCACAACACCATATGTCCACACGACTGAACCGAGGAGGAGGAGGAGGGCTCTGTGCAGCAGCCAGGAAAACACTGCCCAAACGCAACATCTATCAGCCAGGATTACTTCCAGCGAAAATCTTTCAGAAATTACATTTTAGAGAAACAAAAATAAGTGCAATGGAAACGTAATTCAATCCACTATTTTTTTTTTTTGGGCACTCAGACAATCACATAATCGTCATTATTCATTCACTCCAAACACAAAGGTGACAAACTACTGTGGCCACAGCTGCCCTGGGGCCCACTGACAGAAGTGAGGCAACCAGTGTGTGCCATTGGCCCCTCCGACCACCACCAACCATTCACACTCCAGACTCATGTGGGTTAAGTGTCTTTCCTAGGCACACGACAACAGTTGTCTTCTTACATTAAAGCTGCAGGCGCCCCTCTGTGGCACGGGGTATTCTCAGGGGTCCCCCCATCACAGTAAAAGTGGACCCTGCCCTGCTTAGTTTCAGAGGTCTCACAAGATCTGGCTTTCCCAAGAAGGTATAGTCACATAGAACATTATACATACAGTTTCTAGAGTGCTGCACAGAAAATATAAAACATTCTACAATAATCATACATAAATTATAATAAGTATTATGAAAAACAATCTACAACAGATATAGATATCTATCAAATCTTAATAAAAGACAGAGAACAGACAAAGTAACTCTTATTACATTCTTCTCTTTCCATTTTTTTATTTACCCCATTTAGAGAAAATGTATTCTGTTCTGCTATGTATATTAATAATCTTTAATTGTGAGTCAATGTTGATTTATGGCATACAATAATGTCACATTGTATGGTTAGCCTATTATAAGTAACTATTGTTAATTGACTATTTGTTATTGCACATAAATTGACTGACAATGCTCTTCTCAGGCTGTCCATTCCCTTTATGTGAACAGATTTGTGCCATTTTATGATTTAATTCCAGGCAGTACAAAGAATAATAATAGCTTTCAGTAAACTGTTTTTAACTATTAATTGAGAAACTCACTATTGCCGTCGGACCTGTCAGCACTAATCTTATTTTTTTTGCCAGGTGAGAAAAAAAAAATCCCAACACATTTTCTATTCATGAGAAAATGACAATCGATAACATAGGGTCTCATTATTTTTCGTACAAATTTACTACAACATTCCCTTGTTTTCCACTTTAAATAAATTACCATGTAGATTAATCCAATTTCAGGTGGGTTGTAGAGGTCTGGCCTTGCCTTGATTTTCGCTCGGCCCGTATTAAACACAAGGACGTAGCGTTTGGAGCCATTTCTCCTTCACAAGCTTGGGATTAGACGAGCTCGGAAGCTGATTAGACACACCTCAGCTCTGCAGGGAGAAATGGAGACTGAGGTGGCCAAAAACACTGAGGAAGAAAGATTATACGCCATACAATGTGTTCCAATGTGTCTGTGGAGTCATTATAATAACGGATATACAGTGCCTTGCGAAAGTATTCGGCCCCCTTGAACCTTTCAACTTTTCGCCACATTTCAGGCTTCAAACATAAAGATATAACATTTTCATTTTTTGTCATGAATCAACAACAAGTGGGACACAATCGTGAAGTGGAACAAAATGTATTGGATTATTTAAACTTTTTTAACAAATAAAAAATTGAAAAGTGGGGCGTGCAATATTATTCGGCCCCTTTACTTTCAGTGCAGCAAACTCACTCCAGAAGTTCAGTGAGGATCTTTGAATGATCCAGTGTGGTCCTAAATGACTGATGATGATAAATAGAATGCACCTGTGTGTAATCAAGTCTCCGTATAAATGCACCTGCTCTTTGATAGTCTCAGTGTTCTGTTTAAAGCGCAGAGAGAACCATGCAGACAAAGAAACACACCAGGCAGGTCCGAGATACTGTTGTGGAGAAGTTTAAAGCCGGATTTGGATACAAAAAGATTTCCCAAGCTTTAAACATCTCAAGGAGCACTGTGCAAGCAATTATATTGAAATGGACGGAGTATCAGACCACTGCAAATCTACCAAGACCCGGCCGTCCCTCCAAACTTTCATCTCAAACAAGGAGAAGACTGATCAGAGATGCAGGCAAGAGGCTCATGATCACTCTGGATGAAATGCAGATAACTACAGCTGAGGTGGGAGAGTCTGTCCATAGGACAACAATCAGTCGTGCACTGCACAAATCTGGCCTTTATGGAAGAGTGGCAAAAAGAAAGCCATTTCTCAAAGATATCCATAAAAAGTCTTGTTTAAAGTTTGCCACAAGCCACCTGGGAGACACACCAAACATGTGGAAGAAGGTGCTCTGGTCAGATGAAACCAAAATCAAACTTTTTGGCCACAATGCAAAACGATATGTTTGGCGTAAAAGCAACACAGCTCATCACCCTGAACACACCATCCCCACTGTCAAACATGGTGGTGGCAGCATCATGCTTTGGGCCTGCTTTTCTTCAGCAGGGACAGGGAAGATGGCTAAAATTGATAGGAAGATGGATGGAGCCAAATACAGGACCATTCTGGAAGAAAATCTGTTGGAGTCTGCAAAAGACCTGAGACTGGGACGGAGATTTATCTTCCAACAGGACAATGATCCAAAACATAAAGCCAAATCTACAATGGAATGGTTCACAAATAGACGTATCCAGGTGTTAGAATGGCCAAGTCAAAGTCCAGACCTGAATCCAATCGAGAATCTGTGGAAAGAGCTGGAGACTGCTGTTCACAAACGTTCTCCATCCAACCTCACTGAGCTCGAGCTGTTTTGCAAGGAAGAATGGGCAAGAATTCCAGTCTCTCGATGTGCAAAACTGAAATAGACATACCCCAAGCGACTTGCAGCTGTAATTGCAGCAAAAAGTGGCGCTACAAAGTATTAGCGCAAGGGGGCCGAATAATATTGCACGCCCCACTTTTCAGTTTTTTATTTGTTAAAAAAGTTTAAATTATCCAATAAATTTCGTTCCACTTCACGATTGTGTCCCACTTGTTGTTGATTCTTGACAAATTTTTTTATTTTTATATTTTTATGTTTGAAGCCTGAAATGTGGCGAAATGTTGACAGGTTCAAGGGGGCCGAATACTTGTATATACATACAAAAATATGATTTAATTTAGCTGTTCGTGTCAAGTCATCAGTAAATGGCCCTAATCTGTCAAAAGGCTTTCATAAACCATGGTCTGTTCGAAGACTCCTTTAACTGATATCAGTAGTTCAGCCGAGAATTTTCAAATTAGTTTTACAGCACCTAAATCTTGTTATTGTTTTCCAACCAATCAGGAAGTCCGCATGATCCGGGTTGCCAGAACTCACCGCGTTGAGCTAATCTCACCGGTAAAGAAACACGTGGCCACAGAACTAAAAAGATCTCGTTATGATTCTCAAATCAATAACAACAAAAATATGAATAAAACAAGGATTTCTATCGGGGCCTTGGTGAAAAACGTGTTGGTTATAGATTGGTTGAAGACAAAACTCACGTTTATTCAGATATTATGTTCCCAGTTGGATTTGTCTACATACCTGGCAGCCTGAGTCAGGGAGAGTGGTAGAGGTTGCAGTACCACTTTTGGCCAGCTTTTTACATACTGCTCCTTTAAAACAAAAAATTCTGTGGTTTGTGTGGGTTTTGAACTTTTGTTTTTTGAAATTTGACAAATAAAATGATAAAATATATTTTCTAATAAAAAGATTTGCTCACATGTGTCTACTCTTACAAGACTCGTTCTGCTGTATTATTTATGAAGACAAACAAGTTTAAAGAGTAATCTCCAACCTTCATTTTGTCATAACATGTTGCTTAAATAACTGAATATTTGGATAAAATAGGTTTATAAAAAAATCAACACTGCCTCAAACAACATTGTTCCGTCATAAAAAAAAATCTAATTGCGGGAATTTGAGCACAGATTGTTCCTTGTTAATAAAATGTTTTGGATTTGGTGCTTTTCATCATTAGTATCAAGCATGTCTTTAACAAACTACCAGTATCATTTAAAACAATAATTTTTTCCCTTTCCCTCTTTCCGGCAGGACAAAGGTTCATATTTGGTTTATTTTTGTGTTTATAACTTTGATTGGGGCATGGCCAGAGTTATAATAAAACCAAGTTAAAACCTGCTAAATGCACTTATCCCCGGAGTGGACTTTTGAAATGCAAATGCACGAGAGCTGGAGTTGTTCTAAGATCTACTGGGGGATGAAGCACACACTTTTTGCACCCTTGTTTGCGGCTAAAAGCGTGCTAAAATATTCTTTCCGCCGTCATCCATCAATAATAACCATTTTTGATGCATCCTTTTTGCACGCACGCTGAAATATACATTGTACTTTTCACTAAGTTCTTTGGAAAGCGTTGACATTGTGGACTTTCATGTTACTTTATTTAGCCAAAGTTGAGAAATATTGATGTGCCCAAAAGCGCTTGTATTTATGATTCCGCAACAATCCAGGCACCGCCCACGCTCTCTCGCAGACATCCAAACAGCCCGCGGTCAGCGATGGATATCTCGGCCTATTTTGGTTCCACGTTTGCAGTGACACATACGCAGCCACTTTGAGTTCGTTTTCACTTCATGCAAGGCTTCTACAAAGATTGTCTGCGTACGACCAGACAGAGTCCCTTTTTTCTTGGAGATGCCTTTCTCAGATTTTGTGTGGGTTTGAACATGGCGCCAAAGTTGTTTGAGATGAGACATTTTCTGTGACTTTGCTCTCTCAAAATATATTATTTTATGTGGAAACAACAGCATTTTCCTGGTACTATACTACTAGACTTGCCAGGAGTACTTAATAATACTAAGACATATTATCATTTTTTTGACCCTAAAACCTGACATTAATGCGGTAATGAAAGCTTCACAGTTAAAAAAAAAAGATTTGAGGGACCAGAAGATTGTCTAAGCATGGTTTCTCAGCATATTTAGACAAGAATTTGCATCGTT